GCTGCCACACTGGGCTCTTACCCACTTATAAGTAATAAACACAGAACTCCTAAAGTGCTGTGATTACAGGCGTGAGCCACGGTGCCTGGCCAGCATTAATTACCTCTGAAAAGCCCTGTGTCCAAATAGAATCACACCTGGGGCTAGGGCTTGTATGTGAAGTTTGGCGGGACCAATTCAGACCGTGGCAAGGACTGTCTTGTGTGCCACATGATGCATAGCAGCACACCTGGACTTTGCCCAGGAGACACCATGAGCCTGAGCCTGAACCTGCCCCCACTGCAACTCATGACAACCGAAAAGCTCTCAGGATGTGGCCAGATGTCCCCATGGGGACAAAGTCACCCCAACTTAAGAATGGCTGGCTCCTTTGGGAGGCTGAGGCGGGAGGATCAAGAGGTCAGGAGATCGAGACCATCCTGGTTAACATGGTGAAACCCCGTCTCTACTAAAAATACAAAAAATTAGCCGGGCGCGGTGGCGGGTGCCTGTGGTCCCAGCTACTTGGGAGGCTGAGGCAGGAGAATGGCGTGAACCCAGGAGGTGGAGCTTGCTGTGAGCTGAGATGGTGCCACTGCACTCCAGCCTGGGCGACAGAGCGAGACTCCATCTGAAAAAAAAAAAAATAAAAAAATGTCTGACTCAACAATTAACAATTGCAAAGATGTGGAACCAATGGAAGTGCCCATTGACTAACAAGCAGGTAAAATGTATCTATACGTCATGGAATACTATTCGGCCATTAGAAGGAAGGAAATAATGCCATTTGCAGCCACTGGGATGGAGCTGGAGGCCATTATTCTAAGTGAAGTAACCCAGGAGTAGAAAACCAAAATCCGTATGTTCTCACCACTGCATGCATTCCATCCTGGGCGACACAGCGAGACTGTAATTTATTTTTTTAATTTTGAGGACTCTCAATCTCACCCAGGCTGGGAGAGTGGCACGATCTCAGTTCATTGCAACCTCTGCCTCCCGGGTTCCAGCGATTCTCCTGCCTCAGCCTCCCACGTAGCTGGGACTGGCTCTGGTGGTGGGGGTGCTGGTAAAACTGTCAGAAAACGAGTCGCAAGAAGTGTCCGAGAGGGCCAGTGAGGTGACACCTTTGAGGAGGAAGTGGTCAACGTGTGAAATACAACGATGGAGAAGCAATAATGAGAAGGACTGAGCAGGGTCACTGTGTTCCAGGAAGCTCATTAGGGTTGGTCACACACACAGCTTCAGAGGAAGTGTGGGCAGAGAAGCCGGTTTCCAGCAGGTGGGGACCACACGTGAGAGGTCAGAACAAAGGCTGCCAGTGTGGGTTATGTCTTAGGGAATGTGGCCCCCAGAGCCACGGACCAGTGAGGGTCAGTGGGAGTGGGTCTCCTGGCTGGGCGCGGTGGCTCAGTAATCCCAGCTACTCTGGAGGCTGAGGCAGGAGAATCGCTTGAACCCGGGAAGCGGAGGTTGCAGTGATCCGAGATGGCAGCACTGCACTCCAACCTGGGCGTGCAGAGCGAGACTCCGTCTCAAAAAAAAAAAAAAAGAGTGGTTGATCTAGAAGCAAGACTAGGTGGCGGTTACCAGGGGCTGGGCGTAGCAGGGGAGGAAGATGTTGGTCAAAAGGCACAAGTAGCTGGGCGTGGTGGCTCCTGTCTGTCATCCCAGCACTTTGGGAGGCCAAGGTGGGTGGATTACCTGGGGTTGGGAGTTCGAGACCAACATGGAGAAACCCTGTCTCTACTAAAAATACGAAAATTAGCTGGGCGTGGTGGCATGCACTTGTAATCCCAGCTACTGAGGAGGCCGAGGCGGGAGAACTGCTTGAACCCGAGAGGCAGAGGTTGCAGTGAGCTGAGATCGCGCCACAGAACTCCAGCCTGAGTGAGAGAGACTTGATCTCAAAAAAAAAAAAAAAAGTATTCAGTTATAAGATGAGTTACTTCTGGGGATCCAACGTTACACGATGGCGATTATGGTTAACACGAGCAGGTTTTAAATGTCCTTACCCCTGTTACCAGCTGAAGGTGTGAAGTCCTGGGTCCTTGGTGGTGTGAACAAAGCATGGGTCGTGATACACACACCTAGCAAAGCAGCAGCAGTTTATTAAGCACAGGATTACACTCGGAGAGGGGAGAGCAGGCGGACCTCTGCAAAATGAGATCGGCGTCAGTTTGCTGTACTTCGGGTCTTTTTTTTCCTAATTAGGGATATACAACCATTTATTGACCACTGTTCACCAGTATTTACAATAAAGTAAACCATATACAGTTGAATAACACTCAGATTACCACAAAGTTGTGTTTCCTGGCTTTTGCTGAACCAGTAAAGCAAATACTGAAAAGATTCAGCCTACACTTTTTTTTTTTTTTTTGAGATGGAGTCTCGCTTTGTCACCAGGCCGGAGTGCAGTGGCGCGATCTCAGCTCACCGCGACCTCCACCTCCCAGGTTCAAGCGATTCTCCTGCCTCAGCCTTCTGAGTAGCTGGGATGACAGGTGTCTACATGTAAGGAATGAGTTGGGGTAAAGAAAAAATATGCAAGTCAGCAGTTTGTCTTTTTGTTTATCGATTTATTTAGAGATGGAGTCTCGCTCTGTTACCAGGCTGGAGTGCAGTGGCGTGAGCTCGGCTCACCGCAACCTCCACCTCCCAGGTTCAAGCGATTCTTCTGCCTCAGCCTCCCGAGTAGCTGAGATTACGGGTGCGAGACACTGCGCCCGGCTAATATGTTGTATTTTTAGTAGAGACGGGGTTTCATCGTGTTGCCGGGTTGATATTTAACAGAAAAATCAGATTTAGAGAATAAATTTGACTGGCATGAGGCACCAGAATAATGGGAGGGTGTGGGGCCCATGTGGTGAGTATGTAAATGGATTGATAAGTAGAAGTTCTCAGGGAAGAAAGCGATGGTGGTGTCCAGACAGCATTTAAAGGCCCCTAGTGAGAAGTCTCAAGTTGCAGGCTGTGCCACAGCCCCCGTATATACATTCCTTCATTTGACATATATTTCCTGAGAACCCCTTTAGAGTTGCCGGAGCTGTGAACGCAGCCACTAAATCTGACATAGATCAATTCACACGCGTTCATGGCGGAGACAGGAAAATGGACATGCATGCCAAATCAGGGTTCAGGTGCTGTTACAAGGAATTAGCAGGTGCTTTGGGATGAGAAAAGTGTCTTGGCCAGGCATGGTGGCTTACACCTGTAATCCCAGCACTTTGGGAGGCCAAGGCAGGGTGATCACCTGAGCTCAGGAGTTCAAGACCACCCAGGGCAACATGATGAAACCCCATCTCTTCTAAAAACACACAAAAAATTAACTGGGTGTGGTGGCGCATGCCTCTAGTCCCAGCTACTTGGGAGGCTGAGCAAAGAGAATCGCTTGAGCCCCAGAGGCGAAGGTTGCAGTGAGCTGAGATTGAACCACTGCACTCCAGCTTGGGCTACACAGTGAGACTCCGTCTCAAAAAAAACAAAAAAGTGCTGTCTTTGTGTGAAGTCAGAGTTATGGAAACTCTCTTGGAGGAAATGGTATCTACGCAGAGCCCTGAAGAACAAGGCAAGGTATGGATAAAGAAGAGAGAACGGTGGCCAGGCGTGGTGGCTCCCACCTGTAATTCCAGCACTTTGGGAGGCCGAGGCTGGTGGATCACCTGAAGTCAGGAGTTCGAGACCAGCCTGGCCAACATGACGAAACCCCATTTCTACTAAAAATACAAAAATTAACCAGGTGTGGTGGTGCATGCCTGTAGTCCCAGCTATTCAGGAGGCTGAGGCAGGAGAATCGCTTGAACCCTGGAGGTGGAGGTGGCAGTGAGCTGAGATCGCGCCACTGCACTCCATCCTGGGCAACAACAGTGAACCTCCGTCCCAACAAAACAAAAACAAAAACAAAAAAAAAAGAAGATGGAATTCTGTGGTGCTTTGGGGTAGGAGGAATTGGGGCATGGTTGGGATGCAGCCAGGACTCATTATTATTTTTTCTTTTCTTTTTTTTGAGACAGTCTTGCTCTATCACCCAGGATGGAGTGCAGTGGTGTGATCTCGGCTCACTGCAGCATCTGCTTTCTGGGTTTAAGTGATTCTCCTGCCTCAGCCTCCTGAGTAGCTGAGATCACAAAGTCCCACATCATGCCTGGCTAATTTTTGTATTTGTATTTTTATTTATTTTTTGAGACAGAGTCTTGCTCTATCACCCAGGCTGGAGTGCAGTGGTGCGATCTTGGCTCACTGCAGCCTCTGCCTCGCGGGTTCAAGCTATTCTCCTGCCTCAGCCTCCTAAGTAGCTGGGATTACAGGCACACGCCACCATACCTGGCTAATTTTTGTATTTTTAGTAGAGATAAGGGTTCATCGTGTTGGCCAGGCTGGTCTCGAACTCCTTACCTCAGGTGATCTGCCCACCTCAGTCTCCCAAAGTGTTGGGATTATGGGCATGAGCCACCGCCCCCGGCAGGATTCACTTATAAAGCTGCTTCTCTATGACTGGCTGTTGCCACAATGCCTCCTGAACCATTCGATACAAACCTATTCTATATTGGTCATTAACTATTTTGAATGGCTTCCTGCAGAGAAAGGGAAGAAAGACCAAAGTAGAAAAAAAAAATATTTCCATGGCCATCCTGTTAAAGAAGAAGAGATCTTTTCAGAAAAGACCAGAGTGCTTAAAAGTATGGTTTGCAGTAAGTGGCACAAAAGTACTTAGAGCCTAGAAGAGACCATAGGATTTGTCTACAAAAGAAATTCAGCGGCTGGGCGTGGCAGCTCATGCCTGTAATCCCAGCCCTTTGGGCCGAGGCGGGGGGATCTCTTGAGATCAGGAGTTCAAGACCAGCCTGACCAACAGGGAGAAACCCCGTCTCTACTAAAAATACAAAATTAGCCGGGCATGGTGGCGCATGCCTGTAATCCCAGCTACTCGGGAGGCTGAGGCAGGAGAATCGCTTGAGCCCAAGGGATGGAGAGGTAGAGGTTGCAGTGAGCCAAAATCACGCCATTGCACTCCAGCCTGGGCAACAAGAGCAAAACTCTGTCTCAAAAAAAAAAAAAAAAAAACCAGAAAGAAACTTAGCATGTAGTTCTCCCACCCTCTGCGTCGTCCGGGATGCTCTGACAAATGGAATGCCAGTGTCCCCTGTCCCCTGTTCCCTGCAGTGACTGCCTCCTCCGTGGGTCTGACACAGAGCTCACGCCACCGAGGCTCAACACCAGCTTTCAGTTCCACCCATGGCCACTGCGTCTCATGGTCATTCTTCAGAGTCTTTGTGTTTGTTCAACCTTCTCCTGCCTTCCCAAGTGGAAGCTCTGCTGGCTTGCTCTCTAGTCCTCTTCCTGCTGAGCCAATCTTCAACCAGGAGACACACTAGAGCCACCAGGACTAGGAAGGCCAGGCCCATCCGAAGGAGATTCTGGGCAGTGTGGTCCCAGAGGGCAAGGTCTGTGGGCAGCAGGAGAACAGGGTGATTGCTGACAGGGATGTAAGGACACCCTCTTTTTTTTTTTTTTTTGTACACGGAGCCTCAGTCTTGTTGCCCAGGCTGGAGTACAGTGGCACGATCTCGGCTCACTGCAACCTCCACTTCCCGGGTTCAAGCGATTCTCCTGCCTCAGCCACCCAAGTAGCTGGGACTACAGACACGCACCACCATGCCCGGATAATTTTTTCCTATTTTTAGTAGAGATGGGGTTTCGCCATATCGGCCAGACCAGTCTCGAACTCCTGACCTCAGATGATCTGCCCGCCTCGGCCTCCCAAAGGGCTGGGATTACAGGCGTGAGCCACTGCGCCTGGCCAAGGACACCCTCTTGTTCCGTTCATCCCGATCTCCTTCCCAGGTCATTACTCTATGCCCAGCTCCTTCCTTCAGAGCCTATGGCCCCAGGTGTCTACTTACCTTTCTGGAGTCCCGTCTCTCTGGTTAAAAGGCAGGTGTCCCAAGAGTCTGCTGATAATAAGGGAAGTGAAGAAAAGAGAATGATGTTGACGTCTTCCGCCCCCGCCCTCCTTCCCTTGGGTCCGCCCCATGACGTTCTGCAGCTTTGCAAGGTCCTACCCTACCCTGCAAGTCCCAGGAGCTTCATCCAGCAGGTAAAGCGGAAGGGTCCACAGATGGACACACCGGAGGAGGAATTCCAGTCTAGAACTCATGAGCATGTATCTTTGCACCAATCATGTCTTCTATTTTTGTTTGTTTGTTTTTTTTTTTGAGATAGAGTCTCGCTCTGTTCCAGCCTCCCGAGTAGCTGGGACTACAGGCACACGCCACCACACCTGGCTAATTTTTTTCATATTTTTAGTAGAGATGGCGTTTTTGCCAGCCAGGCTGGTCTCGAACTCCCAATCTCAGATGACCTGCCTGCTTTGGCCTCCCAAAGGGCTGGGATTACAGGCCTTCCAGGCTGGAGCGCAGTGGTGCGATCTCAGCTCACTGCAACCTCAGCCTCCCGAATTAAGCGATCCTCTTGCCTCAGCCCCGAGTAGCTGTAATTACAGCATGTGCCACCATGCCTACCTAATGTTTGTATGTTTAGTAGAGATGGGGTTTCACCACGTTGGCCAGGCTGGTCTTTTTTTTTTTTTTTTGAGATGGAGTCTCGCTCTGTTGCCCGGGCTGGAGTGCAGTGGCCGGATCTCAGCTCACTGCAAGCCCCACCTCCGGGGTTTACACCATTCTCCTGCCTCAGCCTCCCAAGTAACTGGGATTACAGGCGCCCGCCATCTCGCCCGGCTAGTTTTTTGTATTTTTTAGTAGAGACGGGGTTTCACCGTGTTAGCCAGGATGGTCTCGATCTCCTGACCTCGTGATCCACCCGTCTCGGCCTCCCAAAGTGCTGGGATTACAGGCTTGAGCCACCGCGCCCGGCCGGCCAGGCTGGTCTTGATCTCCTGATCTCAAGTGATCCACCCACCTCTGCCTTCCAAAGTGCTGGGATTACACGCGGGAACCACACGGCCCAGCCCCTGTCTTCTGTGTAAGCCTCATTTTCCTCATTAAGTCATCATTACCTCTTTCCCCTCACGGGTAGTCAAATTCAAAGTCTCACTATTTTTTTTTCAATGTCGTAACCGTGCAGCCCCAGCCCCATCCCATCCCCACTGTCATTTTCCAAACATCATTTTCAACCCTCCTGGCCTCATAGTTATTATTTTATTACCCCAGTCATCGTCCTGCCCCAGGGCACAGGCAGAGGCCATTTCCTCTCTCTGGAGCCTCCTTTCTCATACTATGCACTATATATATATATAATTTTATATATATAATATACACTATATAATATATATATAACATACAGTGTATATTTTATATATATTTTTTGTTTTGTTTTGTTTTGTTTTTGTTTTTTTTGTGAGACGGAGTCTCGCTCTGTCACCCAGGCTGGAGTGCAGTGGCGCGATCTCGGCTCACTGCAACCTCCGCCTCCCAGGATCAAGTGATTCTCCTGAGTAGCTGGGATTATAGGTGCACACCACCACCACGCCTGGCTGTTCTTCGTTTTAGTTTTCTTTCTTTTTTTTTTTTTTTGAGACAGAATCTGTCTCTATTGCCCAGGCTGGAGTGCAATGGTGCAATCTCAGCTCACTGCAACCTCCACCTCCCTGGTTCAAGCGATTCTCCTGCCTCAGCCTCCCAAGTAGCTGGGATTACAGGTGAGTACCACCATGCCTGGCTAATTTTTGTATTTTTAGTAGAGATGGGGTTTCACCATGTTGGCCAGGCTGGTCTCGAATTCCTGACCTTGTGATCTGCCTGCCTCAGCCTCCCAAAGTGCTGGGATTACAGGAGTGAGCCATAGTGCTCAGCCTAATTTTTGTATTTTTAGTAGAGATGGGGTTTCGCCATGTTGGCCAGGCTGGTCTTGAACTCCTGACCTCAAGTGATGCACCATCCTGGCCTCCCAAAGTGCTGGGATTACAGGCGTGAGCCACTGCTCCTGGCCTCGATGAATATTTTGAATGAATGCCATGTTTTTAGTGTCCCTGGGAGGCTCTGATCTCTCCTCTGAGCTTAGAAGGACTAGTTACTCACCGGGAAACGTGGGGTCTGTAGGTGCAAGGCTGGTGTTCTCAGTGTCGCCTGGAAAAGGAGATAAAGAAAAAAAGTAAGGATTTTGGGTTTCCTCCAGTCTTGCCATTCTTTTTTTTTTTTTTTTTCTTTTTTTTGGAGATGGAATCTTGCTGTGTTGCCCAGGTTGCAGTGCAGTGGTATGATCTCGGCTCACTGCAACCTCTGCCTCCCGGGTTCAAGCGATTCTCCTGCCTCAGCCTCCTGAGTAGCTGGGACTACAGGTGTCCGCCACTCCGTCTGGTTAATTTTTGTATTTTTAGTAGAGACAGGGTTTCACTGTCTTGGCCAGGCTGGTCTCGAACTCCTGACCTCGTGATCCACCCGCCTTACCATTCCTTTCTCTGCTCCCTCCTCCTTCCTGCTTCTGATGTTCTTCCTCACATGACCAACTGGGCTCCCAGGAAGTGGACGTCCCTTGGACACCCTCCCCGTCACTCTCTGGGCATCCCTTAGGGCTCCGGGTAGGACACGGCGGCGGGGGCTGTGGGGAATTGAGCATTTCCTCACCTGTGACCAGGAGCTTCACTGGCTCACTGGGGAAAGACCAGGCATAGTTGTTATAGGAGCCAAAACATCGGTATGACCCTCTGTGGGCTGTGGTCACAGGGCCCATGGGGAACTCCGCCTGGACCTTCCCGTAGCTGCGCTGCACGTCTCTGGATCTTCCCTCCTTGAGCAGTAAGAACATGCTTGTTGCTGTGTCTAGACGGCAGTAGAAGGTCACCTTCTCACCCGAGGTCACTTCGGGTCCAGGATGAACCGAGAGCGTGGGTGTGTCATACATTTCTATGAGAGAAGGTGGGGCCACCGCACCAGAAACTCAGAGATGAGCAGCCAGCTATTTGTATATTTTCTCCTTTCTTTTCTTTTCTTTTTTTTTTTTTTTGAGACGGAGTCTCGCTCTGTCGCCAGGCTGGAGTGCAGTGATGCGATCTTGGCTCACTGCAGTCTCCGCCTCCTGGGTTCAAGCATTTCTCCTGCCTCAGCCTCCCAAGTAGCTGGGACTGCAGCGGCCTGCCACCATGCCTGGCAGCCAGCTTTTTTTTTTTTTTAAATTATTATTATTTTGGTCAAATACACACAATAGAAGATTTACCATCTAAACCATTTGTTTTTTTTTTTTGAGATGGAGTCTTGCTCTGTCACCCAGGCTGGAGTGCAATGGCATAATCTCGATTCACTGCAACCTCTACCTCCTGGGTTCATGCCATTCTCCTTCCTCAGCCTCCCGAGTAGCTGGGACTATAGGTGCTCGCCACTACGCCCGGCTAGTTTTTTGTATTCTTTAGTAGAAACGGGGTTTCACTGTGTTAGCCAGGATGGTCTCGATCTCCTGACCTCGTGATTCACCCGCCTTGGCCTCCCAAAGTGCTGGGATTACAGGTGTGAGCCACCGCGCCCGGCCGCTAAACCATTTTTTAAAATGGTACAGGGTCTTGCTCTGTTCCCCAGGCTGGAGTGCCATGGCACTACCTTGGCTCACTGAAGCCTCGACCTCCTGGGTCAGGAGTTTGAGACCAGCCTGGTCAACATGGTGAAACCCCGTCTCTACTAAAAATGCAAAAATTAGCCGGGCGTGGTGGCCCATGCCTGTAATCCCAACTACTTGGGAGGCTGAGGCAGGAGAATTGCTTGAATCCGGGAGGCAGAGGTTGCAGTGAGCTGAGATTGCACCACTACACTGCAGCGAGGGTGTCTCAAAAAAAAAAAAAAAAAAAAGCTAAATTTTGTTTTTTAGAAAAACACCACCTGGCCAGGCGCGATGGCTCACACCTGTAATCCCAGCACTTTGGGAGGCTGAGGCGGGCGGATCACCTGAGGTCAGGAGTTTGAGACCACCCTGGTCAACATAGTGAAACCCTGTCTCTACCAAAAATACAAAAATTGGCGTGGTGGTGGGCGCCTGTAATCCCAGCTACTTGGGAAGCTGAGGCTGGAGAATCACTTGAACCCAGGAGGTGGAGGTTGCAGTGATGGGAGACTGCACCATTGCACTCCAACCTGGGTGACAAGAGTGAAACTCTTCTCAAAACAAACACAAAAACCCCACCACCTGTGATGGGTGAGGGAAGCAAAGTGTTAGCCACTGCGCCTGGCCCACAGGCGTTGTTTTTGAGGACGTTCCTCGGTCATACCCCTGCACACAAATATCTATCTCAGAATCTGTGTCTTGGAGAACTTGACCGAGGACACATCTGCTCATAGGACATAGAGACACTGTCTGCAGACAACGCCTTGTAGGCTGAGATTGTGATGGGGATCACCCCTCCTCCAACCTCCTACCGAGACAAGCAGTGTCTGAGTGGGGCTTGGAAGAGTTTATAGATGATGCTCCATCCCGGATGCAGACTGAGCTCACTCTCCAGTTAGAGAACCGGACAGTTACCTGTTACCACCAGATCCAGCAAGTCGCTGCGCTCTGACCAGAGCTCCCCAACCCGATAGATGCAGCTGTATCGCCCTGCCTTGCGGGAGTTCATGTCCGGGATGTGGAATTTGACTCCATTAATCCGTTCAGGCGGTTTTGGTCTCTCCACGGCAAAAAGGCTTCCTTCAAAATGCAGCTGGTATTCAACAGCTCCATAACTTCCCTGGCAACAGAGGGTCGCTTGCTTTTCCTTCGGAACCATGTAAGTGGATTCAGCCCTGATGATCGGTTTTGGGAGAGTCTCTGGAAGGGAATCAGAGGCTGGAGTTCCAGCTGAGCCCCGTCCCCCCAACCATAGGCTCCACCCTGCTGCTGGCCCCAGGCCCTCCTGGGAAGCCAGCACCCCGCCCCCCTCTCCCCAGCCATGCTTGGGTGGAGGGTGCTTGGCCTGAACCCGAAAGAGTGACCCTGGGCTTTGAAGGAAGGACTCACGCTTTGGGGCGCTGATTCTCTGGCTCAGACACAGCCCTGGAAGACGGGAATAATGAGACCCGTTGCCTCCCAGGCACACCCTGATCCCATTCCCCTTCCATGCAGGAACTCACCAAGGCAGAGCAGGGCACGGAGCGTGGAAGGCATCGCTCAGATTCTACCGGTCGAGTGCTGAGCAGCGGGGTGGGGACTGAGCCCAGCGGGCCAGGGAGATGCACAGGAAGTGGTGGCTGAGCCCCAGCGCCCATCGCCAGGAAGCTTTCATGTTGACTTTTTTCATTAGAACGTTCACCACTCCCCCTCCACCTCTGACCATGAGCCTATGGAAAGGCCATGGTCCCTCTGACACATCTGCGGTCTAGCCAGCTCCTCTGACACTTGTCTGCTCAGCCTGAAATGCATTTCTGGGTCAGCTTCTCAATTCTGCAATGTGAAGGTGGTACCCAGAGCTGACCGTGAGAAGTCAGGCCTAATGACGCTCAGAGGAAACCCCCTGAGAATCGTATAAAAACACAGGGAATTTCACAGTGAGATACTGGAACAGGAATGAAAAGAAATTAAAGAAGTGTCACAGAACGAGCCGCAGACAAAACTACTCAGACACCGGATTAAAGAAGGAAGAGGTTTTTTATTCGGCCGGGACCGTCGGCAGACTCACGTCTTAAGAGCTGAGCTCCTCAAAAAAAGAAATGCTTGGCCTTTTTAAAGGCTTACAACTCTAAGGGGTCCACGTGAAAGGGTCGTGATAAATCGAGCAAGCGTGGGAAACGTGACTGGGGGCTACATGCATCAGGTAACAGAACAAAAAGTTTTACAATGCTTTTTTCATACAGTGTCTGGAGTTTACAGATAACACAAGTAGTTTAGGTCAGGAGTTGATGTTATTATTATTCCTTTTTTTTTTTTTTTTTTGAGAAGGAGTCTCACTTTGTCTCCCAGGCTGGAGTGCGGTGGCGTGATCTCGGCTCACTGCAAGCTCCTCCTCCCGGGTTCATGCCATTCTCCTGCCTCAGCCTCCCAGTAGCTGGGACTACAGGCGCCCACCACCACGCCCGGCTAATTTTTTGTATTTTTAGTAGAGACGGGGTTTCACTGTGTTAGCCAGGATGGTCTCGATCTCCTGACCTCGTGATCTGCCCGCCTCGGCCTCCCAAAGTGCTGGGATTACAGGCGTGAGCCACCGCGCCCGGCCTATTATTCCTTTTTTTAACTCCTAGGGCCGGGTGGTGGTGCCAAGGTTGTCTGGCTATTTATCTTACTTTTGCTTCTTTCTAACTTTTTGCTTTCTGTCTCCTCCTGTCTTGTGAACTAGGCAAGGTTGGGGGAGGAGGGCAGCAGGAGGAGTAGTGGTCTCCTCCTTCCTTAACAGCAAAAGCTCAGTTGTATGTAAGAAAACTCAATTCCCCCTGAGGAAGAGAAAGAGGTGGAATCCTTTAAAAATTAGCTGCCTGTTTTTCTTTTCTTTTTTTTTTTTTTTTTGAGACTTTGAGACGGAGTCTCGCTCTGTCACCCAGGCTGGAGTGCACGATCTCCGCTCACTGCAAGCTCCGCCTCCCGGGTTCACGCCATTCTGCCTCAGCCTCCAAGTAGCTGGGACTACAGGCGCGCACCACTACGCCCGGCTAATTTTTTGTATTTTTAGTAGAGACGGGGTTTCACCATGTTAGCCAGGATGGTCTTGATCTCCTGACCTCGTGATCCGCCCACCTCGGCCTTCCAAAGTGCTGGGATTACAGGCGTGAGCCCCGGCGCCCGGCAGCTGCCTGTTTTTCTGTCTGTGGCTAGCCAGCCTTATCTCTCTCTTCCCAGGCATTGTGAAGGCCCCGTTTCTCCAGCTGTGCAGCCACAAGGTCACTAGGCAGATAAACTCAAGTCGCAAAACATGTTTTTCCTTGAAAAGTATGAAAGAATGTAACACATATCTCAAAGGAATAACCGTCTTTGTTTCTCGCTTCTGTAATATGCTTCCCCCTGCACAGATCTCTCCCGGCCCCATGAAATGCTTAAAAGGTAACCGGACTCTTTGTTGTTCGGAGCTCAGTCTTTTTGGATGTTGATCTGACTGCCCCTAACGGAGGAGACCACCCTTCACATTGTCTTATGCCCAATTTCTGCTTCCAAAGAAAGAAGTAAAAACTAAAAGGCAGAAATGAAATCCACAGGCAGCCAGCCCGGCGCCCAGCACCCTGGGCCTGGTAGTTAAAGATCGATCCCTGACCTAATTGGTTCTGTTATCTGTAGATTACAGACATTGTATAGAAATGCACTGTAAAAATCCCTATCTTGGGCTGGGCGCGGTGACTCATGCCTGTAATCCCAGCACTTTGGGAGGCTGAGACAGGCAGATCACGAGGTCAGGAGATCGAGACCATCCTGGCTAACACGATGAAACCCCATCTCTACTAAAAAAAAAATACAAAAAATTAGCCGGGTGCGGTGGCGGGAGCCTGTAGTCCCAGTTACACGGGAGGCTGAGGCAGGAGAATGGGAGACTCTCTCAAAAAAAAAGAAAAAAAGAAAAAAAAAAGAAAATCCCTATCTTGTTTTGTTCCAGTCTAATTGATCTAATTACCAGTGCAGGAGTTTGAGACCAGCCTGACCAACATGGAGAAACCCATCTGTACTAAAAATACAAAATTAGCCAGGCGTGGTGGGGCCTACATACCGGTGGGTATGTACCCGGTCACATACCCCCTGCTTGCTCAATCGATCAGGACCCTCTCATATGCACCCCCTTAGAGTTGTGAGCCCTTAAAAGGACAGGAATTGCTCACTCGGGGAGCTCAGCTCTTGAGACAGGAGTCTTGCCGATGTCCCCCGGCCCAATAAACCCCTTCCTTCTTTAACTCGGTGTCTGAGGAGTTTTGTCTGCCGCTCGTCCTGCTACACACCTAAATAATAATAATAATACATCCTCCTCAACCCCTCGGTCTCTCTGATTCCTAAATTATCCCGCAACGATACCATCTCACACCAGTCAGAATGACCGTTACTGAAAAGTCAGAAATTAACAGACGCTGGTGAGATTGTGGAGCAAAGGGGACACTTACTATTTATTTTTTTATTTTTTTGTTTTCTGAGACCATATCTTGCTCTTGTTGCCCAGGCTGGAGTGCAGTGGCACGATCTCGGCTCACCGCAACCTCCGCCTCCCAGGTTCAAACGATTCTCCTGCCTCAGCCTCCCTAGTAGCTGGGATTACAGGCATGCACCACCACGCCTGGCTAATTTTGTATTTTTAGTAGAGATGGGGTTTCTCCATGTTGGTCAGGCTGGTCTCAAACTCCTGACCTCAGGTAATCTGCCCACCTCGGCCTCCCAAAGTGCTGGAATTACAGGCGTGAGCCACCGCGCCCGGCCCCAAAGGGGACACTGATACACTGTTGGTGGGCGTGTAAATTAGTTCAGCCACTGTGGAAAGCAGTTAGGAGATGTTTCAGAGCACTATAAACAGAGTTACCATTCAGCCCAGCCATCCCATTACTGGGTATATATCCAAAGGAAAATAAATCATTCTACCAAAAAGACATATGCACTTGTATGTTTGTTGCAGCAGGATTCACAATAGGAAAGACATGGCATCAACTCAGTGCCCATCAGAGGTGGATTGGATAAAGACAATGCGTTATGTATACACCGCAGAATGCTATAGGGCCTTGGAAAATCACAAGGTTATGTCCTTTGCAGCAACATGAATGCAGCTGGAGGCCGTTATCCTAAATGAGTTAACACAGAAACAGAAAACCAAATACTGGCCAGACACGGTGGCTCACGCCTGTCATTCCAGTACTTTGGGAGGCTGAGGCAGGTGGATTGCCTGAGGTCGGGAGCTTGAGACCAGCCTGACTAACATGTGGAAACCCTGTCTCTACTAAAAATACAAAATTAGCTGGGCGTGGTGGCACATTCCTGTAATCACAGCTACTCAGGAGGCTGAGGTAGGAGAATTTCTTGAATCTGGGAGATGGAGGTTGCGGTGAGCCGAGATGGCGCCATTGCACTCCAACCCGGGCAACAAGAGTGAAACTCCATCTAAAGAAAAAAAAAAAACCACATACCACATGTTCTCACTTATAAGTGAGAGCTAAACATTGGGTAAGGAGGGGAGCAAGGCTTGAAAATTTACCTATTTGGTAATATGCTCACTACTTGGGTGACTGGATCATTAGTGCAAGCCTCAACATCATGCAATATACTCATTAAAAAACTGCACATGTATCTGCTGAATCTAAAAAGATAAAAATAGGGGTTTTAACGCTGGCTCCTCTGCGTACAGCATACATATGCTTGGATAAGTTAATTGGTTTAATCAGAATGGAATGATAACAGTCTTCTTCAAAGATAGTGCTATAATGTTTCAATAAAATAAACGTGAAAAGAAAAGCTTTTCATTCAAAGAACTTCATAAGAAAAGAAACATTTCCTTTCTTTTTCTTTTTTTTTTTTTTTTGAGACAGAGTCTTGCTCTGTCCCCCAGGCTGTGGTGCAGTGGTGCGATCTTTGTTCACTGCAACCGCCGTCTCCCAGGTTCAAGCGATTCTCTTGCCTCAGCCTCCCGAGTAGCTGGGACTACAGACACCCAACACCACGCCTGGCTCATTTTTGTACTTTTAGTAGAGACGGGCTTTCACCACGTTGGCCAGGCTGGTCTTGATTTCCTGACCTCAAGTGAATCTTCCCGTCTCGGCCTCCCAAAGTGCTGGGATTACAGGTGTGAACCACCACGCCCGGCCAAGAAACATATCTTTTAAGTAAGTAACTAACTCCACTTAATAAAAAAAATTCTATGCAGAAGTTGTTAAGATCTACAGTAAGAACAAATGTTCTATCTGTGACATTGTGAAGAAGAAAAAAGAAATCCATGCGTTTTTTATATATATATAGTTTTATATATATTTTTATATATAATATTTATATATTTATATATAATATTTATATATTATATATAATATTTATATATTTATATATAATATTTATATATTATATATATATATTTATATATTTATATATTTTATTTATATATTTATATATAATATATATTTTTATATATAATATTTATATATAATATAATATATTTTTATATATAATATTTATATATAATATTTATATATAATATTATATATTTTTATATGTAATATTTATATATTATATATTTTATATGTAATTTTATATATTATATATTTTTATATGTAATGTTTATATATAATATTATATATTTTTTATATGTAATGTTTACATATAATATTATATATTTTTTATATGTAATGTTTATATATAATATATATTTTTATATGTAATGTTATATATATATATTTTTTATATGTAATGTGTATATATAATATATATTTTTTATATGTAATGTGTATATATAATATTATATATTTTTTATATGTAATGTGTATAT